ACCTCTCATTAGTTGTTTATGTGAACGGAGTAATGACGCCCATTGCCGAACTTATCACTTCTCTGCAACACTAACATCATTTATGTTACAATTTAGACGCTTTGTGATAGTTTCTTGCAATAAATCATAGCCAGTATTTAATGTAATCGTGACCGATTGGAGTTTTGCATTAATGATGTCAGTCTGTCAAGGTTTTAATGATGTAACATTATATACATACTTGCAATTATGCTACAAGTTCGTCACAAGTAAAGATGCCTATATCAATGATATGGTCAAAGCAAAACTATGCTGTTCTCATTTTATAAAAATGATGTGCGAAAAACTTTCCCAAACTAAACGAGAAAAAACAGTAAAATATGGCAATAAACCATAGCAAGCCCAGTGTTCCCAACTGCAGGGAATTTTCCCTTTTTAAGGAAATTTGGCACCCAAAAGGGAAAAGGGATTTTTTTAAATAAAATCGTCGAAATGAGGGAATTTTTGAGAAATAGAAGTTTGGCATCGATGAAGATAGAAGTTGTGTTCAGCACGGATTTGGAGTGGAGTAAGCGATGTCACTCTACCTACGCCGAAAAGCAATACTCGAACGCCTGGGGTGGGTACGGAATTACTCGGAGCACTCGGAGTGACAGCCGAACGCAGCAAGGTTCGGTTTCGGGGGATCCCGGTTGTATTTATTTTGGTGCTCCTGCTTAATTTTTGCAATTTGTTTGTAATCCGTTTAATCATCCAATCAAACTTCAAAAATGAGTTCTTCGTGTGAGAGTGAGAATAGTGGTAGCAATCTAACAAACCAGCCAAAAAAGAGGAAAATACAAAAGGATAAAATGTTTAAAGGCGATTAAAGGCGATCAACCGGTTATTACCGCGGTTATTCCCTTGGTTGTCCTTGGTATTAAATTCGTTTTCACCCCTTCCTTCAACCGAGTTCAACCGGAGATGCATCGCGTTTACGCGAATTGTACTTGCCGGTTATTTTGACAGTTTGGTTAGTTTTGTTTATTTTTATTAGTAAAGTGTTTTGTTTTGTGTTATCGCATTATTAAATTATAAAGCTCTATTGTTTATAGAATATTTTTAAATTTATTGTCGTGTATATTGTCGTTGCCAACATGGAGCGTTGGGAAGTATGCCTATTGTCATTAGGCAACAGAATAATAACTAACAAGTTATATTTGTGCAATTACTTCTTCAATCACATCAGAGATACTACAGCCTTGGAGCTAGTTTTAGTATATGTTTTCCGAAGAGAAGTGAGGAATGTAGATCTGAAACCAGAAGCTTGGCTGATCGATTATGATAACATCGAGTTTTTTTCATTGTTCAGGATGCAAAAAAAGACAATGAATTTACTAATCAGCATTGCAAAAACGATATGTTGAAGGTTTTGTACCAACTCTTCTGCAACAACAGGTATTGATCTTTGTTTGGTATATGGCCACCCAAGACAGCCTGAAAAACATAGGACATCGTTTCAAAGCATCTCATACAAGAGTCATGACTCATGATCATTGTAAACCATATTCTGTATTTTGTTGTTCAAATGAAGAAGCAATATATAAAATTCCCCACAGGAGAAGATGAATTGAATACAGTTATGCAGGGTTTTCCAACCTATCCGGGTAAATAATGCCAGTATTTTTCGTTCTACACATGTTATTAACATTAATGATTATATTTCAGGTGTTATTGGAGCAGTGGATGGAACACGTGTTTTTGTGCAAGTTGAGAAATCCCAACAATAAAGTTATATTGATAGGTTTAGGCGACACTCCATCAATATTATGGCCGTCTGTGATAGCAAGGCTTTATTCACCTACTCATTCATTAGCTTCCCTGGCAGTGCACATGATTCCAGAGTAAGCAAAGGTTTTAAATTTACTTATATATGAATCTAGTGGTAGTTCTGGAATTTAAGAATCCTAAATTTTATGATTTACGGTACATTTTATTTTAGGTGTTCCAAAATTCTCAGTTTTTCAAACATATCGAGCGATATGGACCAAACAGTATTTTCTTGAATGATCAAAAATACCATCTGGTTGGTGACAGTGCCTTTGTACTGAGATGATGGCTGATGACACCCTATCGTGATAATATGAATTTGACAAAGGAACAAAAAAATCACAACCGCTGCTTGTCTTCAGCAAGAGTTGTGATTGAACATGCTTTTGGCCTGTTAAAGGATCGTTGGAGAAGGCTAATATACATTTGCACTTATAATATTTGCAAGACAATCGAAATTGCCACTACAGCATTGGTTTTGCACAATTTTTGCCTTATTAATGAAGGTTTGTGGACAGAACATTTTGAGGAGGAAAGGCCACAAGTATTCGGTGATGTCGCAATAGAGGAAGCAGGCAGAACCAAAAGAGACAGAATTCAAAAATTAATTCTTTTTATAGGGTGTTCATTTAAAAACTTACCACTCCTATTATCTCAGAGTTGAACAATTTTCGAAAAAATCCCTGAAACGCGTCAAATAAAATTTGAAGGGGGATAAGTTTCTATGAAAAATTCACCTCCCCTCTTTGAGCCGCCCAGCCCACAGAACTACCCCCTAGAAAATCTTAAATGGAAAAGGGGGTCAACTGATACATCATTACTGTAAATTACGTACACTCCATCCACTTTCTCATTGAAGTTTGATTGTGGAGGGGTACAGCTTAACTTTTTTCATTTGAACGCAGTTAAAAAGTATGGAATTAAAAACCCTCCAATGATGTATCACTTGATCTTCCTTCCCATTTCAGATTTTCTAGGGGTTGGCTTTGGGGGCTGGGGGGTTGGAAGAGGGGAGGTAAATTTGGCATAAAAACTCATCCCGCTACAAATTATAGTTGATGCGTTTCAGGGATTTTCCCAAAAAAATTTCAATTCCGAGTTAATAGAGGTGGTAAGTTTCAGAATCAGCATATTGTATGTATGTTTATATTTATATTACAATTTAATTAGAATTACATAAGATTAAATAATCTGGTTTTGGTTCATTATATTTTATCAATCTACAGTATTAAAAATGTTTAAATTAATTTGTAAATAACTATAATATAAGGTATAAAAACTCATCCCGCTTCAAATTATAGTTGATGTGTTTCAGGGATTTTCCAAAAATTTTCAACTCCGAGTTGATAGAGGTGGTAAGTTTTAAGATCAGCATATTGTATGTATTGTTTATATTTATATTAAAATTTAATTAGAATTACATAGGATTAAATTATCTGGTTCTGATTCATTCTATTTTATCTATCTACAGTATCAAAAATGTTCAAATTAATTTGTAAATAACTAAAGTAAGGTATAAAAACTCATCCCTCTTCAAATTATAGTTGATGTGTTTCAGGGATTTTTCCAAAGAAAATTTCAACTCCTAGTTAATAGAAGTGGTCAGTTTTAAAATCAGCTCATTGTATGTATTGTTTATATTTATATTATAATTTAACTAGAATTACATAGGATTAAATTATCTGATTACACAGTGTGGTTTTCGTCCAGGAATATGTTAATGAAAAGTGGGTTTTCGGCTTATTTGGACTTTATTTAATGAAATATCTAAATCAACAGCCAACGTTTCGACGCATTCCGCATCATTCTCAAGGCTAAAAGAAAACATGCAAAGAACGTTACAAGCATTTCACAACGATTAACATTTGAAAAATGATTGACAAAATAAATTAACATTTAAAAAAGAAGCATTTACAAAGGTTTAAAAAATAAATTAAAAAATGACGTAAAAAAAATAAATTAATATTTAAAAAGTTTCAACAATGACTATTACATAACAAGAGATAAGTAAAATGAGTTTCACAAATTATATTTTTGAAAAACTATCAATCCAGACAACATAGAACCAATTACCTAATTTGACTAATAAAAACGTCGTATTGTTATCTACAAAATACCTTACCTAGATTATTAAAGCTATGAATCGCATCATTCGGACCGATTCATCAATAACAACAAACAAAAAAGTTCACACACCAAAGAGCGGTACTATTGCTTGCCGTGATGTTTCGGTACTACTTTTTCATATCGATCCGCATTGGTAGAGCAAAAATCAAACGAGAAGAAGCCACTGTCATCAGCGCTGACAAAGAAAGCAGATTTTCTTTTCTCTGCGTCCCTACCATTTAAAGTGAGACAAACGATAACCCGTGTGGCTTCTTCTCGTTTGATTTCTACTCTACGTAAAACTAAATTATTGATAATATTGATTCCCACCCCACCAAATTTCACCTTTAAAAAAGCTTAATTTGGGGAACAGAACCAATTGAAAACAATCTAATGGTCGGTTTATAACTGATTGGTTATGATGTTGCAGTAAATTGTACTTAAGTTTTGTGTATCCATGTTAAGTTTTACATTGGGTTTATTAGTCGTTATATGGCACATTTCTAAGAAGAGTCTTTGTTGGAAAATTAGGGTGACAGTCTAAGATAGTCGATGATTGGAAATCAAACTGGTGTCCAGTTTCGAAGTAATATCTTGCTAGCCCTGTTTTTGGATTATCTATCTTAGTAATATTACAATCCCTTTTGTGTTCCGATATGCGATTTTCCAGATATTGTTTTGTTTGGCCTACATAGCATACATTGCAGTTATTGCATGGTATTCTATACACTACATTACTAGTGTTATCTTTAGGGGTGGGATGTTTAACTTGGGAAAAAAGATTTTAAACTGTTTTTTTATTGTACATTGCCACTTCAGCGGTCTGTGTACCAAGTTTTTTTCCGAGGGGTTCAGATAGACCTTTCACATATGGTATTTTGTAATATTTTTTGATAGTTTGCAAACTGCCGTGTGTGTTGGTGCTATTAGCGTTTTTGCGGGGTTGTTGGTTTAAGATACGGTTGGTAAAGTTTATGGGATAGTTATTTGCAGATAGGGTGTTCTTCAGTTGATCTATATTCTGTTTCCAAAATCTTTTATCTGATAGTCTAAAGAGATAATTTTAAACCTATACAAAAAGCCTACTAGCTCCAATCGAATACTTAATTATCAATCAGCACACCCACTTCACCAAAAAATAAATATTATTAAACAACTTCAGAACAGTCTTTAGACTATCAGTCCTCTGTTTTTTTCAAGTGTTGCAAAAATGTTTGAAACTGGGCATCCCTTCCTGCATTTGCTTTTTCCATTTCAAGCAAAACGGCATCCGTTTTTGAGTGTGGTTCAACAATTTTCCTTGATTTTGAGAACCTATTTTCTATTTTTTCTTCTGAATTTTTACCGACATTCTCTTGGATAAGAGTATCAGTTATATTAGACATTTTCCATGTCATCGATATTTTCTGTGGTTTGATGGCTTTCAAGTATTCCCTTTGTGTTAGCATTCATCGAGTCTTCCAAATGAACAGGATTGACCTTATGTTTTGGGCCTAGAAATATGTTTTAATTATTAAAAAACCTGAGGCCCAAAATATCACTGTATTTGTAATACTACCAATCAAATAATTACTACGACTATACCGGGTGGGGCACGAAAAACTTTCCAACCAGGTTTTCTCAGGTGTTAGGTGTTTAATCAAAAATCGCTCAGACACGTCAATTTTTCTTTTTTGGGGGACACATTTTATTGGCATTTTCACCCCCTACCTGTGAACCCCTAAGTGGGGGTGACAGATACCGACAAAATTTCAAATGAAAAGGGGGGTCGAGTGATACGTCATTTGATAGCTATTTTCATTAAGATTATATCTCCGAAGTTTCAAGTTGCTACTATTTACCCTGTCGAAATGGCGGCTTGTCAAAGTTAGGACAAATCAATGGAAAAATGCTGTGTGGTTTTCACCTATTACCTACGCATAGGTATGATAGGTAAAACCTGTACAGCTTAGATTATCGAAAAAAATAATTTATCCTAACTTTGACATGCCGCCATTTCGGCAGGGTTAATAGTAGCAACTTAAAACTACGGGGATATAATCTCAATGAAAATAGCTACCAAATGACATATCACTCGACCCCTCTTTCCATTTGAAATTTTGGGGGTACCTGTTACCCCCACTTAGGGGTTCACAGGTAGGGGGTGAAAATACCAATAAAATGTGTCCCCCAAAAAACAAAAATTGATGTGTCTGAGCGATTTTTGATTAAACACCTAACACCTGAGAAAACCTGGGTGGAAAGTTTTTCGTGCCCCACCCGTATATGATTATGATTATTGCAACAAGTGAAATGATAGTAATAATTATCCTCTTGGAAGTGTTACCATTACATTCATAATTTGAGAATAAGTGACTAATATTCGGTAATATTTTTTTGTGCCAATTGTTTCATAATTTCCAATATCTTACTTAGCAAAGAGTACAATTCTTCAAAAAACGGCGGGGGTTCCAGTGAATTGCCTTCACCAGTGGTTTTTTGGTGTTTAATATACTTTAAATATGCTTTTGTTAAGTTGGCAAACTTTTGCCGGCATCTTTCTGCTGCATTTTCTCCCAGTTTATAATTACCCTTTATCAAGGTTTCACCTATTTTTTCTCACAGTCTGGACTTTGATGTCTTTTTATCAGAAAATTCTGTTTCCATCTTCTGCCTTAGCTGCAACAACATTTGTGTTGCTTCCAAATCTTTAGCATTAGGTTTTCGGTTGACCCAGATTATCGATTCAGTGTCCAATATATCTGCTTCAACATCCATATAATCTGCAGAAAGTCCAGTTTCGGATTGCTCTACTGTGGCAGATGGGGTACTTGTGATAACAGTATTTCTATTTACTGGTCCTGCTGAATGCCCTGGTAGAAATTGCGGATAATTTTCCAATAAATACATCGAAGCAGCAGCAGGATCTAAATTCAACAAAGGGTAGAGTTAAAAAATTTGGCCTATGTAAACTCACCATTCAAAATTAAATTTGCTGTTTCAATATCTGCAACCCGGACAGTGTGATCATTTCCTTCAAAATTTAGACTCAGTTCAAACTCTATTTTTATTTAGGTTTAGGACCCAATTAATTATTTATGAAACTCCACAAAAAACATTAATTGTTTATTCTCAAAATCAAAACCTAACCTCTACTTTCAAAAAATCGCGCGTAGAAATCAAAACAGACAGAGCAAAAAATATAACCCAACTCGAAAGTGGAGTTATTACCGGTTATAAATGGTAAATAAATGACGTTGACAAAGGGCTTTTTTATGACGTCACATTTATAGAACCACAGTTAACCGAAGTCGCCTTTATGTGTGCGGTAATAACCATTTTGGAACGGTAATAACTGGTTGATCGCCTTTAATCGCTTTAAATAGTTCAAATGTTTGAAGCAAACAAGGATAATGTTCACAATTCTAATGTGAAAAAGGCGGAAAATAAATTAGCTGCATTTTTTGCTTCAAATAACGTTGCATTTCGAATTATTGACCAACTAGAACCAATTTTGAAACGGATTTTTCCGGATAGTAAAATTTGTCAAGACCTTAGTTTAAAACAGACTAAATGTACGGAGATTATAAGAAATGTTTTATGCAAAAAGAAAAAAGATAATTTAGTAAGTAAACTGAGAAAAATACTGTTTTCCGTCTTATTGGACGAATCAACAGATGTTGGCGATTATAAGTTTGGCAGCACTCGTTCGTTATTCAAAACTTGGACAAATATAGACTAGACTTCTAGAACTTATACAAATAGATGCAAGAGATTTATGAGCAACGCATTTATATGGGGTGTTTAAAGCTTGTTTGGAGAGACATGAAATTCCCTTGGCAAATCTAGTAGGTGGGTTTTTTTTTCAATTTTCACTTAGATTATTCTTTAGCTATCAAAATGTTGTTTCAGTTGCATGTGACGGTGCCAGTGTGATGGTTGGAAAACATCATTCGTTTTTCCAATTACTACAGAATGATATATCGCATATAATTCTATCAAGATGTATATGCCATTCTGCGGCGTTAGTCGCGTCCCATGCTTGTTCATTTCTACCTCGATCTGCGGAGAAATTACTGCGCAGTGTATATAATTATGTATCAGGAAGCGCAAAACGGTCCGCTCAATTGCAAGAAATGCAAGAGTTTTTTTAAGGAAAAGAAACATAAAATATCAAAATTAGCAACAACAAGATGGTTAAGTAGATTTGAATGTATCAGTCGTGTCCTTGAAAACTGGATTGTTCTAGGAAATTATTTTACTATTGCTGTCCACGAAGACAAATTAAAAAGTGCAGAATTGATTCTTGGTGAACTGAAAAATGTCTATACCAAGGCATACCTGACATTTTTGAAATATACTCTAAAAATATTCAATACTTTTAATATTCTTTTCCAAAACAGAAAACCGCTTATTCATGTGTTATGTATACTGAGTGTATGTTGCTTATGAAATAGCTTTGTCGAAATTACATTCAGGCAGCAGTACTTGCAAAAGAAGATCTATCTACACTAAAGGACCCCGCACAAAAAGATAGGAAAAGTGGTCCCGGTCAAATCGTCTGAAATTTTGATATGATATACTTCTAGTGATCCTGATTCAAAGCTGCCATGGACGCAAAAAATCAATCGAGGGGTTTTGGAGTTATAGATCCTCAAAGATGACATTTTGGATATAGATGTCAAAGTTCATAATTTCGTCAAATACTATTAAAAATAGAGTAAATAAACTTCAAAAGATCAGAAATACTTAAATAGTGTAGGTAAATACATATGTTAGAAAATTATACAATAAAGGTGCTGTTTCTTTGTTATTAGTCCGGGTGTTCATCTGTTGATTTCGATTTATAGCGTGTTTTTTTTTTCAATTTGGTCAAATATTATTGAGAGAGCAGTGAACGGAATAATTTTTTTTTATTAAGGTAAGTATATACCTACCTACCTGATTGAGTGAAAAACTAACAGTTTCTCCCACATACAGGGATTACTGTGAAAGCAAGAATGTATTATAAAATAAATATAAAAACAAAAATAAATTCTATATTTTTTATTTTAACAACAAATCTATCCTATCTACATACATACTATACTTTTAATCTATTTTATTGCCAATACCAATAATTCAAGATTTAATACATATTTTGCTAAAAATTAGAACTAAACATAAGTATTAATGGAAATAATGAAGAAAAAGCTAGGTGAATTTAAGTTTCAATTGATAACATGCACGTTATTTGAGGTTCTGTTTCCAGTATCTGATACACGATGTAGCAACTCGGTGGCCGGATAATGGATATTTGGTTGGTGCCGCGGGTAACCCAAATACCAAATAACTGCTGCTATGTGCCCAGCACTCTGGATCCTAACTTGCAGGTACAATAATGACCTCTTACATTAGTAAAATCATAGTCAATAAAAATCTGGTGCCTAACTGCATTTCTGAAGCGCGTAAACACCCTTAATCTGATCAGATTGAGGTAATTCAGGTCTATTTGCAATTCATTATTTGCTCCTCTGTGCATAGTGTCCTGGATGTAAGACGGCGCAAGATATATTTGATAGACACCTACAGTTTAGTCCCACAGATATTCTAGATCCAAATGTGGAAAGTTTTAGGCTTGATTTTCGTGTAAGCGCCTCCACTGCGCATTTCTAACCCACAGGTTTTCTTTTTCTTTGCCGTATTTGTTGGGCCAGCTCAACTGTTATTCCTCCCATTTGTACTGGCTCCTACCTAACGATATATTTATTCTGGACCGAGGTTACCGAGATGCCGGGCCCTTGTTGGAAAGGGTGGGAATTGAATGTAGGATGCCAACTCAACTAAGGTCGCACAATCATCAATTGTCGACAGAAGAAGCTAACCTATCAAGACTAATAACTAAAACTCGATGAATTATTGAAGCAAAAAAGGAACATTTCAAATCTGTGTTTTATTTTTTTGATAAAACTATATTTGCGGTCCACTTGAAATGTTTGGGCGATTTCAACAGAATTTGTGGGGCCATGTTCAATAAATACCAGGAGCCAGTACTAATGGAAGGAGCAACAGTTGAGCTGGCCCAACAAATACGGCAAAGATCGCTTTCCAGAAATAATTTGCAAGTTATAATCGACCAAGAAAACCTGCGGGTTAGAAATGCGCAGTGGAGGCGCTTACACGGAAATCATACCCTAGACTTTCCATATTTGGATCTAGAAATATCTGAGAAACTTGAAGGTAGGTGTCTATCTAATAAATTTAGCGCCGTCTTACATCCAGCATCCAGGACACTATGCGCAGAGGACCAAATAATAAATTGCAAATAGACCTGTTACTGAATTACCCCAATCTCATCAGATTAAGGGTGTTTTCACGCTTCAGAAACGCAGTAAAGGTTGAATTTCGTTGCGACGTCCAGCGTTTACGGTCCGCGGCGACGTCTGGCAGCGACGGCCAGCCGTTACGGTCACATACTTTGCTTAAAACGTCTACATCGAAAGTATAGCAGTGGTTTGTGTATTTTGAAATGAGTGATTAGTGATTAAAAAATGGATCCGTAAACAGGAAACAGCATTTTTTCTGCTAGAAGATAAAAAAGAATATGAAATTCTGAGTTTATCATTTTCTATGCGAGTAGAAACTGACGAATTATACGCATCTAGAAACCAAAAAGGATATTATAAAATTCTAATGAAAAACCATCTGGTTTTCGTGGTCGTATAAACACGAGAATTCACGCACTTCGTCATCACCATCAGAAAATTTTTTGGACATTTTTATAATAAACTCATCATTTATTATATTGTTTTTACGCCCTCGTCATTATTTGATTGAAACTTTGAGGTTAGCGTTCGCGTCTTGACTTGTTGTTGAGCAGTCGAGACGTAGCCGTCGTCAGCGGGCCGCAACGTCTGAGAGACAAGCCGCTTCAACAACACTATTGTCGTTATACCGCATTGAAGAAGTGCTCGACGGCAGGACGTCGCCTCTGACCGTAAACGCTGGACGTTGCAACGAAATCCAACCTTTAAGCACCAGATTTTCATTGACTATGATTTTACTAATGTAAGAGGTCATTATTGTACCTGCAAGTCAGGATCCAGAACGCTGGGTACTTGTGCCTTGTGCACACATAGCAGCAGTAATTTGGTATTTGGGTTACCCGCGGCACCAACCAAATATCCATTATCCAGCAACCGAGTTACTACATCGTGTATCAGATGCTGGAAACAGAGCCCCAAATATCGTACGTATGATCAATTAAAACTAAAATCCACCTCGCTTTTGCTTTATTATTTTCATTAATATGTTTATTTGTAATTTTTAGCACAACTATGTATATTGTTTATTGTTTCAAATCTTGAATTGTTGTTATTGGCATAGAATAGATTAAAAGTACAGTGTTTATTCACTCTATTTTCAATAGTTTTTAACCAAATTATGAACTTTGACATCTATATCCAAAATGACATCTTTGAGGACCTATAACTCCAAAACCCCTCGATAGATTTTTTTAAATCAGGATAACGAGAAGTATATCATATCAAAATTTCAGACGATTTGACCGGGACCACTTTTCCTATCTTTTTGTGCGGGGTGCTTTGAAAAACCCTAGAATATTTCTACCATTTCAAGACATATACTTAGGGGCAGAATGTGCTGAACTTTTAAAAACTACCCCAGAGGATGGCAGAGAAGTATTCATTAAAAACTGTTTAAATTTTTACATTGAAGCAGCATCGGATCTTCAAAAAAGGCTACCCGATACAATATTTAAAAATATGGCGTTTCTTGATCCAACTTTAGTATCTACTAGAAATGATTCAGCAAGAGATATTAATTTTATAGAGATGAATAATGAATTTGGAAGGGATATTAATATTGACAAAACTGACCTAGAAGGAGAATGGAGGAGTTTAAGTGATTTTTTTAGTGAGGCAGAGGTGAGCAGATTAAAGTCGTTGGAAATAGATGAGATGTGGTTAGAAATATGTTCAAAAAAACGTTTTGACGATTCTCTGGTATTTCCGAATTTATCACAGCTTGCTAATATGGTTTTAATATTACCTCATTCAAATGACGAGGCAGAGCGCATTTTTTGAGGCAATCAAGAAATTAGGTGAAAATATTACTCAAAACGTAGGATTTTTTTTTTTTTTTGACCTAGATTCAGTTTTGTACTGTTAATCAAAATACTCGATCGGCAATCGGCGCGAGACGAGATGTTGAGAGATTTGATTGAAATAGGCGATAAATTGAATATTTGTGAAGTAGTAATCATAAAAAATTTAAAAAATGATATATGAGTGAATAAAAGGAGTAGAAAACGTATCAAGCGCTGAAAATCGTATGATATATAATATTGGAAAATATTACTTCTGAAGGGAGATTCTAAAATCACGATTCGATAACGAGACGTTAATTAATATCGGCCTTGTCGTCTAAGTCTGGACAGGTGTGATTCCAAATACATTTCCGACAGATCAGATATTTTACTTTTAAAGTGATTCGATAAACAGTGATTTATTTTCAAATTGTTTGTTGTTGGTTGTTTGATTGTCGAGGTTACTGGGAAATTTTATAAAAAAAGTAATCATGGTATTCAGAACGAGCTCCACACACTGGGAAATTATAATAGAACTTTATGGAGGTAAACAAAGATTTGGCCAAGGGATATTCAACTGGTGCGTCCGGAAAGGAGAGGACAAAACAACTGTGGAAAGAATAAACCACACAACAAAATTCAGCGGGTTCGGAAGAAAGATCAGCTATAAAATGGCAAAAAGGTAAATTGATATTTTTACATTATTTTCTTCTCAGTTTTATACAAATTTGTTGTAAGAAAAATTGCGTCTATTGCAAGTTCTTTAGATGGGCATTATTATTAGTTATAATAATGTTTCTTCCAGACTTGAACAGATTTCAAACATTTATTGAAAAAAAGTAGCAGCCATTAAGGTAGACCTAAACGAAACAAAAGGGGTTGGATCACCACAATATATGGGCTTGTCAGATATAGAAAACAGAATTTCAAGCATATTGGGCATAACTTTTTATAAAGGTGTTGCAAGACCTGAAAATGGCTTGAGCAGTTTTGTCATTTCAAAACCAAACCTCATCAAAGAAATTAAAATAGTCTCAAAAATTAGTAATTTACCATCTACTTCATGCCAGGAGAATATTTCTAGCCAAGAGCAAGCATTAGATATTCGAAGAGCATCTTCTAGCCAGAAAGACATCTACACCCAACAGCGAGCCACAATGTAAGCTATTATCATACTTTACAATTACTCACATCAATTGTAACAGGCTTCTCTTATTAATTGTTTTTTTTTTTGTATTTGAAAGAGCCTCTTTTTTTTTAATCAGATAATAAAATCAGTACCTAGTGAAATAACTCAAAAGTAACTTTGAATTGGTTTCTAGGATCGGAACAGTTGCACTGAGAAGACAATTGGTAAATCATGATTATTTGAAAGCTCCTATGCAAAATCCAAAGCGTTTTAAAAGCAAAAATGAAGACCTTATGGAGACAATGTACAAAGAAACGATTTCTGAACTAAAAGAAATGAAAGTTTGTTTGCAAGATTCAACAAATAGTAATAAAGGTATCCAGTTAGCTTTACAGGAAATAGTAAGTAAAATGTGCAAAGTATAATTTGTAGGTTTAGTCGTTCTTTAAAGTTATTGTTTAGTTATAATATTAAATGTCAACTCCGGAACTAGAGACTATTCTAGAAAGTCTCACAGTTGCCATATTGCCGCAAGAAGCATCGGTTGTAACTACGTCTTTTGAAGGTGGAATGGTTGGCACTTGTTTTTTTGAAAATGTGATCCATACAGAAACATGAGCAAAATATAAGTACAAGTCCAGAACTTGTGAATATTTAAGAACGCTCTATATTTGAATTATTGCCGGAAGATGCATATGTTGACACCTGGTTTTTTGACCAAGTATTCAAAGTATCAACCAGTTCTTTACTTTATCAACGTACTCTTTGTCAAATGCTATAAACTATACCCCGCTCACCTGAAATGACAAACATGGTTAGGATCATCACCATAATGTGCCAAATCTGCTATAAAGTCAAAGCTCTAACTAACTGTGGAGGAAATTACAATATAAATCAACTTGAATTGCCAACAAAGACAATAGCTGTGACCTCAAACAAAGCTGATCTTATCATATTCACAGAAGAAATTGAAATTGGGCCTATAAAAAGGGAAAGGCTTTCCATATATTGTTACGATGTACATGATAGGTGGTAGACGCTTTTTACTCATTGGGCGTCGACCGGTGAGATACCACCATGACAGAATTGAGTAGCGCTAAGTGGTATCACCACGTTCCGCTACTGCGCTGGCAGTCCGGTTCCAACAATGAGTAACAGATAGCATGATGGCGCCTCCAGGATCAAAATATTCCGGAGGTAAAATACCCGACCACTCGGATCTCCGGGCGTCGGGTGATCCTGGGGGTCCTTCATGCAAAGATATAAAGAGAAGATCAAAAACTCAACTCAGAATTGATTTTAGCAATATAAGAGGAATAAGTACAAATATGAATTCAGTTCACCAACATCTTGAAGAACAAAGACCTGACGTCCTTGTTCTCACTGAAACTAAAATCAGTTCTGCAACACCTATTGTGAACTATCTTTATCCCGGCTATGACCTACACCACCGATTTCGACATAATTTTGGGATCTGTGTGTACATTAAAAATGACCTTTCATGTCATCGAGAGGAGAAGCTAGATCCAGCGAACCTTGATATCATATGGCTAAAATTCACCTCAAAGTCATCGACCAAGTTTATCTGCTGCCTCTACCGACCGCCATCTAACACCGAGTACCAAAACTTTTTCGCGACATTATCCGAAAGCTGTGATAGTATACAGTCAAACTATCCACAGGCGGAAATTGTCTTTTTAGGCGATTTCAACGTCCACAATATACCCTGGCTGAAACAGCACAACAAAACAGATAACGAAGGCAGAGAAGCAGAAGCTTTTGCCATAAGTTGTGGTCTAACGCAGCTTGTCGATGAACCTACCCGTATCTCAGAAAGGGGCGAATTTGCAGCGCTTTTAGACTTGTTCCTAACCACAAATCCTGACTCGTACACAATTCAAGTAGATGCTCCACTTGGTTCGTCCGATCATAAACTTATAATAACAAAGTGCGAAATGCTCATCCCACCAAGCCAACAACCACTTCCTCGTAAAATGTGGCACTATAAATCGGCAAAATGGAATGACCTAAAACAGTTTTACCTGCATTTTCCATGGCAAGAGGTTTGCTTTAAAACAGCTGATCCCACTATTTGCTGTAATGAAATAACACAAGTAATCTTATCTGGAATGGATGCATATATCCCACATACAACTAAACGTAGAGCTAATGCAAAACCTTGGTTCAACAGCCAGTGTCAAACGGCTGTACAGAAAAAACACAGAGCATATAACCTTTGGAAACGACAACAAACCGCTCAAAACCACACAGAATTTATAGAAGCCAGAAATAGTTGCAAAATTACTATTGACTCTGCTAAAGAAACATACAATCAAAGAATAAAAAACAGGTTGCTGAATTGTCCAAGTAGTTCTAGGTCCTTTTGGTCTCTTGCAAAAGCTGTTGGAGCTAACTTCACCAAGTCATCCATACCACCACTTACAGATAAAAATAATCACTTAGCCACAACATCAGAGGAAAAAGCCAATATGCTGGCCCAAATGTTTTCCTCCAACTCCAACCTAACAGTGCCAAACGGAAAAACTCCACCGTTCATTGAAAGGGTGTCCCATAGTATGCCAGAGGTACCCTTTTACAGAGAAATACGAAAATCCCTTAAAAAGCTAGATACAAACAAAGCAATGGGTCCGGATGGCATTCCCGCAATAGTACTCAAAAATTGCGCCAACGAACTCACCCCAACTTTCGCAAAATTATTCAATTTGTCTTACAGGCAAGGAGTATATCCATCATCATGGAAGTCTGCCGCAGTACAACCCATTCCAAAGAAAGGAAAAAAGACAGATCCGTTAAACTATAGACCAATTGCTCTACTTCCGGTGATATCAAAAGTAATGGAAAGAGTTGTGAACAATCACCTAACCAAGTACTTGGAAAAGTACAAAATTATCAACGATTATACAACTCACTGTACCTTATTCCCATATGACACGGAAGGCTTAATAAGTGATAAGCCTTTTGGGATTATCGCGCTTGGTGGCATTTATGGCAAATTCTATTATGGAAAATTTTTAAAATTTCAAAGTATTCAATTTTAGTTCGTTGTATAATCTTTTGAATACCACTCGATGTTTCAGGATTACCGGATAATACTTTTACCTGACACTCAACGCGTTACCAGAAACACCACTCCTCCTTCGTCGATAAGCAATACGGATTTCGAAAATATAGGTCAACTGGCGATTTACTTACATACGTCACTCACTTATGGCAAAAAGCGATTGAGTTGCGGGGTGAAACAAGAACAATTGCCTTAGATATATCTAAAGCATTCGACAAAGTTTGGCATGAAAATCTGCTCAACAAGCTCAAAGCAATGGGATTATCGCCGAAACTTTGCACTTGGTTTGAAAGTTACCTAAAGGACAGATCCATTTATGTTGCACTGGATGGCCAGCTCCAACTCTTACCAAATAAATGCCCAAATAAATGCTGGTGTGCCACAGGGAGCAATCCTTTCGCCAACTCTTTTTCTGATTTACATAAATGACCTCATAGATAAAACAGTAAATCCACTTTATTGCTTTGCAGACGATGGCAATGTAGTCTCCTCACTCATACCACCCACAGGTCTTTCCGCACGTGAATTCCATCATCTTAGACTAACTCAAATATCGCAGATAAATAACGACCTGGAGATAATAGAGGACTGGGGTAACAAAAACCTTGTACAGTTCAACGCACAGAAAACCCAAGCAGCTCTGTTTTCAAAAAAGAACAGCACCGGTGAGCCAAACATCATGCTATCTGGAAGTGCTGTTACATTACAGGGTCAGTTGAACATCTTGGGGGTTACTGCAGAGACCAACATGTCTTGGCACAATCACGTGGCAGATATTGCTAAAAGGGCGTCCCAAAAGCTGGGGGTGCTATTTCGTACAAGACATCTGTACACACCAAGCCAATTGCTGACACTCTACAAAGCCCAGATTCGACCAACGATGGAGTACTGCTCACATATATGGAGTGCAGCACCCAAACATACCTTAATGCTTTTGAACACCGTGCAAAAACGAGCTATCAAGCTGATCAATGACCCCGCACTTACTCGTAACTTGGATGGTCTCGAACATCGCAGATCCGTGGGCGATTTATCTCTCTTCTACAGGTACTATCACGGAAAATGCTCTGAAGAGTTGGCACGTATGATTCCACCGAGAGTAGCGCCTACCAGGCGAACCCGTCAAACAGACGGTAACCATGAATTTACTGTCAAACCAGAGGCACCAAGAACCTCATTATATCAGAATTCATATCTCTGGAGAACAGCATCGCTGTGGAATAAACTCCCTGCGACGGTTTTCCCTGCAGGTTACAACCTGAACCGTTTCAAGACCAACATACACCGACATTTCCGCGCACTTGCCGCTTCTCGAGCGTGATAGGACATTTCCTTGCGAGTGCGCATATCCGTAAAAAAAAAAAAAAAAAATCAATTGATCCGAATACTGGTTGTGAAGAAAAAACTTACTTGCTCAACCCCACTCCAGATCAAGTCATGAATAAATAATATTTTTCTACGAGCGTGCGGGAAATGGCTCTTCTCGCACGATTTGCTGTGCGGAAAGACTTTTTTCCCGCACCAGTGGTTTCTTCCCGCACTCAGTGCGGGAAGAGTTTGAAATAATCATTGTGACATGGAATTGTTTGTATTGTTGATACACCTACACTTTAATACCTTTACCTTTTTTTTATAAATACCTTTCAATACATTTTTAATTCTACCTTCTGCACAATCGCATTTTATTTAAATTTAACTTCTCGTAACATCAGCTTTAGTATGCTCGTAGAAAAAATATAGTTCCTAACTCTTGCGGGAAGAAATTTCCGGCACTCGGGCCCTAGCTATTGAAATTAACTTTTATAGTGTCTTCTATAAAAAATGAAACTCGTGATTTGTAAAAAAAAATGATTGAGCAGAAAATGCATATTTTAGAAAACAAAAAAAAAAACTTCTCAAAAAATATGAAAACTAAAAATGCATAACAAAACCAAACAACCTTGTAACAAAACATATAAAAAATTCATAAAAATATAAAATCAACACATTAAACTCTCTAAAACTAGCACTCCGAGTGACTCCGTTCGCACTCCAGCCATTCGGGTATTGCTTTCTGGCGTATTAGCACAACCAATAGTCAATCCTTCTATTCTTTCGTTCTGAACAAACTGATTGAAATCAGCTGAACTATTGGGCTGTGTTCTTTCGTTTTTCAATCAGTCCCCCCACCATACCCACCAACTGATTGCAATCAGTTCCAAGTGATCGCAGAATTTTTGCGTTCACTTCTCTCAGATCAGTTGCCCTAACCTCAAATTATTTGTTTTCATCATATAAATGCACAAATTAGAAACTTTTCTTGATTAATAAAAATGGATCAACATAGTATCCAAATCAATCTTTTCGATGCAGAAACAAATGAAACTTATCCAATTTTTATAAGCCCCGCAGACTCGGACCGCTGTCAAAATGGTGAGTGTAAAAAACAATTTTTACTTTAAAGTAAATACCTTACCTATTCTCTGTTTAATGTTGCCTTGAAATTTTAATTACTTCCTAATTGTTTGTATTCTTTTTAGATATGGAATTTGCTCAGCAGCTTCTTTCCCATGCCAAAAATGAGCATACAGTCCCCACAGTGGAAGTGGTGGAAACATATCACCTCCAAGAGGAGGATACCAATCAGGACGATCCTTTTTCTGAAACGCAGCCAAGCACAAGTTTTGCTGAAGATAATTTGGAGGTGAACCAAGCCTGGTCACAAAATGAAACTTTAGCCCTTATATCAGCATATGAGAGCCATAAAGAAAATTTTAATGTAGCTAAAAAAAGAAAATTTGGATGGTTAGACATAGCCAACGAAGTGAATAGTAATGGCTATCAAAGAAGCGCTGCCAAATGCGAAACCAAATGGAGGAACTTGCTGCGAACATACAAAAATGTGAAGGACATACAAGAGAAATCTTGTAGAGGAGCATGCAGATTTCGTTTCTATAATCGAATGGGCGATATCTTGGATGACAAACCGTCAACAAGTTCACCACATCCGTTTAGTTCAACAAAGCCTGCCACAATAGTGAATGAAGAAGAAGAAGTTATGGAGAACAAGACTTTAGAGACTGATAAGAATAAAAAGGTAACTGATGAAAGCACACCAAAACTCATTCCAAAAAGAAAGAGAGTGTAAAAATTGGATGAACAATTGAAAAAAAAAAGTGAAGACCTAATGCACATGAAAATAAACTATTTGAAGAAAAAATAAGAAGATGGAAAAAATAGAGAGTTGAGGCGAGAGAGAAAAATACAGTTGAAAGAAAAAATGTTGGAAATTGAAGAAAAAAAAGTTGCTCTACTAGAGAAGTTTCTTGAAAGAGAAACCTAAAATAACTTGTTAGTTATTATTTTTTTAGGTATTATTTAAAATTTAAGCTTTGGTGAATTTGTTTTTTTTTTTTTGGCTGTGTTTACAGGGTGATTTACATAACCTGTGCATCTGCTTGCAGGTGGATTGCTATTTTTACCAATTACCTACAAGTCTGTGGAGAGAGAGGTTTCCAAAATCTCATATGGCCTTCAAAACATTGGAAACCAGAAGTCGTATGACTGGTAGTCTAAAAGCCAAACCAAGCAAGAGCTAGGACTAGAACTCAACAAATGAAAATATGGCAGTTGATGTTTTAGGAGCGGTAGCTATTGATCCTCAAACAAGTACCAGGCGGCTTGCTTTAGATGCTGAAATAAGTCAATCATCAGTTATAGCAATTCTGCACAGGCACAAGTATCATCGTTACCATATTACACTCCATCAAGAGCTATACGGAAATGACTTTGAGAATCGCATGAATTTTTGCACTTGGGTTTCAAGAAAAATGCGCGAAAATGACCATTTTTTGAATAATGTTATTTTTTCTGATGAAGCTTCTTTCAATAATTGTGGCCAGGAGGGATTCAAATTATTTTTTACTAGTTCATATTCAGTTTTTGTTGTTTGTCTTCCTGAAGGTGAACAGACACAATATGCATTACTGGGCGGCGAATAATCCTCACTGGGTGAGAACTGTACCAAATCAACATCTCTGGTTTATCAACGTATGGTGTGGTATTTTCGAAGATAGAGTTATTGGCCCGCATTTTTTTCAAGGTCATTTAGATGGACAGGTGTACGAAGTTTTTTTAAGAAATCAGTTACCTAGATTACTGAACCAGAATATTAATCCAGACATATGGTTTCAGCACGACGGAGCTCCACCCCACTATGCCATACAGAACCGTAATCGTTTGAATAGATTATTTGGAAATAGATGGATTGGTCGGGGTGGTCCTGTCAACTGGCCTGCTCGTTCGCCAGATTTGACCCCGCTTGATTTTTTTTTATGGGGATTTATTAAGGATAAAGTGATGGCTACTGCTCCTACGACTCCAGAGAATATGAAAAACAGAATTCGTTCTGCATGTTTATTGGTGGCTCCAGCAATGTTACAACGACTACGAAATTCATTCCGGGAAAGAATAAGGAAATGTTTGGAAGTCGAAGGCGGTCATTTTGAACAACTTCTTAGGCATAATAGACGATACATAATTAAAAATTAGGCGATAAGAATTTTTTTTTATTGTAGTTACCTTTTTAGTCATAATTCCATATTTAGTTTAACAATTTGAAAAATAATTTGTGAACAGACTCCATTTTGTATGTAGAATCGTATTTCAGAATAAAAAACACATCTTTCCATTTAAAATAAGAAAATGACTCTTCACTCCTCTCAAGAGAGTGAAGGGGCAAATGTCAAAAATATTTTTTAATGTGTCCCCCGTGTACTCATTACGTCACCAAAATGTCAAAAAAAAAATTTGCAGCTGTTTTTGACATATCGCATTGTAACACTTTAAAAAACTCACCCTGTATACATCGATATATACAATACCTATATACTATACTGTTGTTTATTTAAGTAAAATTTATGAACTCTTTAGTTATTATTTAAGAATTGGAAATTTAAGTTTTTTGTTTTGTTGAATGATTTGGGTTGGGTTTATTGCTAAAATTAGTTTATCACTAGGTTATCTTTTTTCTTAAGTTACTTTGGTACTTTTAAAATTTAAAGTTATCACTCTATTTAATAAGTAGAAAAAAAAAATGTTAATATACAGTGTGTCCACCTAAGTTCGCAGCATATGGGAAACTTTTTTATTATCAATTTTATAAAAAAAAGTTATTGTTTAAAAAAGTTTCTGCTTGTTAAAAAATAATATTAAACTACTAAAACTTGAAATAGCATGTACAGGGTGGTCAAAAAATAGAATAATATACAGGGTGTTTCCTAAGTACGGTTCGTAACTTCAGGATGTGATTCCTTACAATATTTTTAGAAAAAAAGTTCCCATAAACATGTGTCCGGAAGTGCGTGGTTTCTGAGATACAGGGTGTCAAAGTTTTAGAAAAAAATAGTTTTTCAAAGTTTTTTTAGCTCAAAAATCCCTTTCCCAATGTTTTTTTCGAATTTGGCAGGTCTCTTTATGATAACGAAAGGTATCTTTTGACTGTAATATGACTTGCTTAATCTGAAAAAAATTTCAAAGATTTTGAAAAATAGTGACGCGCCATTTTTTTTTCTACTTTTACCAAAAAATTCTGTATATTTTTCTATTTTCTGACCACCCTGTACATGCTATTGAAAGTTATGATAATTTAATACTTTTTTTTCAAGAAGCAGAAACTTTTATAAGGAATAACTTTTTTTCGTAAAATTGATAATGAAAAAGTTTCCCATATGCTGCGAACTTAAGTGGACATATATATTTATATTTTTTCAGGAAGATTTTTTTATGCTTAATAAAAATACCTACCTCGGAAAATAAATTAGTGTTTCATTTTTTTCAAATAATAGTTATTTATGATTAAGTGTTAAAAGTACATTTTTAAGGCACGCAGTTTGCAGAATGAGCGAAGCAAATTCTGCAATTCACATAAGTGCCTTTAACATAAATATCATACAATATTTTTTCTACAAACGGCAATAACAAGTAATAACCAGTAACAAATTGGATTTTTAAATGAATAATAAATTGAAAGCATCTTTCATAGATAAAATTATTGAATTAGACATTTGTCAAAAAATCCAAACAACCATCACCTTGTTTTACAGGTAATGAAATGTCTTGTCAGTTTCTTGAAAGTCTGTCGTGGTCAGTAATGCTTCTTGCTAAAAATGCAACAAAATACAGAAGAAAAAGAGGGTTGCATCGATCCCTTGAAAAATATAGATGAGGCGGCCAATCGGGCTACCTCAGTTGTTCAAATTTCACCATTAATATCAATGTAAATAACTAAAAATACAATTTTTTTTTGACGTTCGCTCTCAAAATTTGATGTTTCATTTTTTAACACTAGTGCTATAAAGATTTTATGGCACTAGTGCGATAAAGTAACATTTTTAATGCTACGGGGAGGTGTTAAAAATTGCATTTTTAACACGTTTGTAGAAAAAAATCTTTATTCACCAAAAAAAAAATACACTTATCTAAATATCAGACGAAATACTTCATTTCTTCTTGTATTTATTCTCATCATATTATCTCCTTGGGGGACATATTCCTGGTCATTCTCATCTCCTTGTTCTTCAAAATGAAAATCATCGTCCAAATCATCCTACACAAATTGTGCAAAACGACTGATGCAACTATGCAAGTGACAATAAAATCAATTTTGATGTCGTTGAAGTGACGTAATCTTCTAAATCGTCCCTTCAATAAACCAAATACTTGTTCCACTATAACTCGTTTTTTTGACAATCTTGTGTTGAAGGCTTTTTGCTGTCTAGTGAGGTTGCCATTGTCACGATAAGGAGGAACAATCCAGCGAAGTGTTGCAGGATAAGCACTATCAACCAAGAAATAGTAAGGTGCAATTTCATTTCTTGCTTGCAGTTTATTGTATAATGGAGACTTCTTCAAAACCCGAGCATCGTGCAAGCTACCAGGCTCTCCAACATAGATATCCCAAAAAAAAAAATTCTCACCTACCACCCCTTGTAGAATAACACTATGAAATTTTTTTCGGTTGAAGTAATCTTCCTGATGCTCCTTCGATCTCGGTATTTCAAAGTGAGTACAGTCAATAGCAGCATTGGCAAAGGGCAAACCTTCGTTATCTTCAAATGCAGCATTTTGTTGATGGGAGAGTTTCACATAATCTCCACACAATTCACTCACTTTTTTTGCTATTGTTCTTACGGAGTTGTAACATGCACTTTCCGTTACATCAAATTTGTCAGCAACTTCTCTAAATGTGTTATCATTGGTAAAAGTGCACCGGTCACCCGGTAGCCCGGTCACCTAAAATAGCAATTTTTTGAATAAGAATCGTTTGTTTACCGTTCAAATAGTGCATTTTGAAGAAAATTTTCCAGCGGAAATCTTTAATTTAAAAATTACAAATTAAAATTATATTGAAAATACTGAAAAAAATAGGTATTTTAGATGACCGGGCTATACTGCACTTTATCCCGTAAATAAATATGCAGTATAGCCCGGTCACGTAAAATGGTATTTTTTTGAATAAGAATCGTTTGTTTAAACCTTCAAATAGTGCATTTTGAAGAAAAATTTCCAGCGGAAATCTTTAATTTAAAAATTACAAATTAAAATTATATTTGAAATAATCAAAAAAGTAGGTATTTTAGGTGACCGGGCTATACTGCACTTTATCCCCTAAATAATTATGCAGTATAGATAACCCAGTCACCTAAAATGTATTTTTTTTTCATTAAAATGTGTTTGTTAAACATCCAAATAGTGCATTTTAAAGAAAATTTTTCACTGGAAATCTGAAAATCTTTAATTGAAAAATTACAGATTGAAATTGTACTGAAAATACTATTTATTTGTAACCGAGCTGTAATGCACTTTTTCCCCTAAATAAATATGCAGTATAGCCCGGAAGCCTAAAGAGTTTTTTATTTAATTAAGAAAATGCAGATTAAATCAAAAATCAAACGAACTCTTACTAACCCGTCCGTATAGTGCTAGCTCGTCCGCATAAGTAAAATACTGTTTATTTGTAACCGACCTATAATGCACTTTCGCCACTAAATTATTATGCAGTAGGTATAGCTCGGTCACCTATCCATTTTTTTTTCAATGAAAATCGTTTGTGTAACGTCCAAATAGTGAATCACTGACGAAATTAAT